CGCAAGCAGAAGGTCTCAAGTTCGATCCCTGTTACCAAAAAAAAAAAAAGAAGAAGATTATCTGGAAAAGATTTTCTCCCATTCTGTAGGCTGTCTCTTCTGTCTATTGATTATGTCCTTTATATGCCAAAGCCTTTTAAATTGATGTAGTCCCATTTATTGATTTTTGTTATTATTTCCTGTGCTATTAGAGTCTTACTTAGGAAGTCTTTATGACTATCATTTGAACTGTTTCTGCCTTTTTTTTTTCTTTCAGTTTTAGATTCAGGTCTTTCTTCATGTGTATGTGTGTGTGTGTGTGTGTGTGTATGTGTGTGTGTGTGTACACACTGGGGATCAAACACATGGCCTTGTGCATTTTAGACACGCAACTGTTACCAAATTGCATACATCCTTAGCCCCGCCACTGTTCTAGTTTCATCCTGTATGTGTATTTGAATCTAAAGTAAGTCTCTGAGAAAGATATTAGGGAAATAACACCATTCATAATAGCATCAAGAAAAGTTAAAGACTTAGGAATTAACCTAGTGAAAGACCTTGTCAGTGAAAACTATAGTATCCTGAAAAAGGAGATCAAAGAGGACATCAGAAAATAGAAAGACATCCCTTTCCATGGAATAGGCCAAACCAGTAATGTCAAAATGGACATATTTCTAAAATTGATATTTGGATTTAATGCAATCCCAATTAAAATACCAGTAGTCAGGGGAATGGGAGAAAATTAAGATAGATCATGTAAAGGTACAAATTCCCAATGATGAATGTTATCGCATTGTATACCTAAAATGTACCAGTAAACTTAATGAAAAAAAAATACCAACAGTGTTCTTCACAGAACTAGAGAAAACAATTCTAAAATTCATATGGATGCAGAAGAGACCCAGAATAGCAAAAGCAATCCTGAGCAACAGAGCAAAGCAGGAGGCATCATAATCCCAGGTTTCAAGTTATACTACAAAGCTACAGTGATAAAAACAGCATGTGGTGCATCAATGGAACAGAATAGAAAATGCAGAAATAATGCTAGACACATTCAGCCATTTGATCTTTGACAAACTGGCCAAAAAACAAACATTGGAGGAAAATATGATCTTTTAGCAAATTCTGCCAGGAAAATTGGCTATATACATGCAGAATATCTAGACCTGTATCTCAACATGTACTAAACTAAAAGCAAAGTAGATCAAAGATCTAAATAAACAAATACCCCGGGGCCAGGGATTTAGCTCAGTGGTTTCACTGCCTGCTGCGCAACTGCAAGGACCTGAGTTCGATCCCTGGTACCAAAAAAAGAAAAAAAGAAATACCCTGTTGGTAAGGTAAACTCTTGATGTCATGGGCATAGGCAAGGACTTTCTGAACAGAACCCATATTGCACAAGAAATAACATTAAAAATCAAAAAATGGAGGCCTGGGGATTTAGCTCAGTGGTTTCGCTGCCTGCTGCGCAAGCGCAAGGACCTGAGTTCAATCCCTGGTACCAAAAAAAGAAAAAAAAGAAAAAAAGAAATACCCTGTTGGTAAGGTAAACTCTTGATGTCATGAGCATAGGCAAGGACTTTCTGAACAGAACCCATATTGCACAAGAAATAACATTAAAAATCAAAAAATGGAGGGCCGGGGATTTAGCTCAGTGGTTTCGCTGCCTGCTGCGCAAGCGCAAGGACCTGAGTTCAATCCCCGGTACCAAAAAAAAAAAAGAATCAAAAAATGGGATTACATCAAATTAAAAAGCTTCTGTACAGCAAAGGAAACAACCAACAGAGTGATGAGACAACCGATACAATGAGAACTAATATGTAGAATATATAAAGAACTCAGAAAAATTTAACACCCCTCCGGCAAATAAAAAAACCCAGTCAAAAAATGGGCAACTAGGGCTGGGGATTTAGCTCACTGGTTTTGCCACCTGGTGCACAAGCACAAGGACCTGAGTTTGATCCTCAGTACCAAAAAAAATGGGCAACTGAGCTCAATTGAAAAAAATCTTTTAAAAAAAGGGCAACTGAAATAAATAGACACTTCTTGAAGAAGAAATACAAATGGCCAATAAATACATTAAAAATGTTCAACATCTCTGGACATTAGAGAAATGCAAATTAAAACAACACTGAAGGGTCAGGGATTTAGCTTAGTGACGCCACACCTGCCTTGTAAGTGCAAGGTCCTGAGTTCAATCCCAGGTACCCTGGGGGAAAACAAAACAAAACAGTGAGATTCCATCTTACTCCAGAAAGATGGCTGTCATCAAGAAGTCAAATAATAACTAATGCTGATGAAGCTACAGGGAATAAGGAACACTTCTGCATTATTGCTGGGAATATAAACTAATGCAACCACTATAGAAATCAGTATGGAGATTCCTCAAAAAAATAAAAATAAAAATTTGATTCAACTCAGCTATTCCCCTTCTAGATATCTTCCTGAAAAAGTTAATGTCATCATATTATGGCGATACATGCATTCCCATTTTTATAGTAGCACAATTCATAATAGCAAATCTTGGAATTGGCCTTTGTGTCCAACAGATGAATGGATAGAAAAAAATGTGGTATTTATTTGTTTGTTTGTTTTGTTTTTTGGTACCAGGGATTGAACTCTGGACCTTGCACTTGCAAGGCAGGTGCAGTGCCACTGAGCTAAATCCCTGGCTCAAAATATGGTATTTATATACAATGGAATACTATTCTGCTATAAAGAAGGATAAATTTGTAAGAAAATGGATGCACCTTGAGACCATAATGTTAAGGAAAATAAATCAGACATAGAAGCATAAATATTGCATGGTTTCTTTTATATGGGAAGCCCAAAGTATAAATAAAGAGCAAAACAAAAAATTAATAATAAAAAACAGGGAGATAGATCTTTTGCAAATGGGAAAGGGACCAAGAGATGGAGGGAGGAGGTAGAGAAGAGAGGCAAAGGGAATGTAAAAAGAAGTAAGGTGTGTTGTATACATGAACCAACTCCCCACAATTAATGTGATCATTATATATTTCAAATATGTGGTGATAAAAATTAAAAATAGTCTTACAGTGTATACTTGGACCTGTTTTTTAAAAAATCCATTTTCCTTTTAATTGGAGAGTTTAATCCAGGTACATTTAATGTAATTACTGATAAAGTAGAACTTCTGCCATTTAGCTATTTGTTTTCTATATGTCTGAAGTATTTTTTGTTGTTATTTTATTTTGTTTTTTAGCTGGGTCTTGCTATGTCCCAGGGTGGCCTCTAACTGTGTAGATCTGGTTGGCTTCAAATTCATGATCCTTATGTCTCAGCCTCCCACAGTACTGGGATTACAGCCTTGCATGACCATGGTTGGCTTGTCTATATCTTTTTAGTCCTCATTTCCTCTATTACTGTCCTCTTATGTTAGATTATTTTCTAGTGTATCACTTTAGTTCCCTTGTTCTTCTGTATGTTTTGGAATTTTTTAGAAATTACAGTTAACAAGCTGGGGATTTAGCTCAGTGGTTTGGCCGCCTGCTGCGCAAGCGCAAGGACCCGACTTCAATCCCTGGTACCAAAAAAAAAAAAAGAAATTACAGTTAACGATTTATAACAATCTACTTTAAATTTTCCCACACTTAATTTCTGTTTTGTTTTTTTTTTTGGTACCAAGAATTGAACTCGGGTCCTTGGGCTTACACAGCAGGCAGCCAAACCACTGAGCTAAATCCCCAGCCCCATCCCACACTTAATTTCAATAGGACACAGAAATTTTGCTCCTGTAGTTGTTTTCTCTCCCGTGCCATTGTGCAGTTAGTATACAAACTGTATATAAATTGTGTGCTTATTAATACAAGTTGGGGTTTTTTGTTATGTTTTGTGGGCTGGGGTTTGAACCAGGGCCTTTACACTGAGCTACATCCCCAATCCTTTTTATTTTTTAGTTTGAAACAGGATCTCACTAAGTTTCTAAGTTGCCCTGGATGGACTTGAACTTGAGATCCTCCTGCCTCTGCTTCCCAGAGTCCCCGCATTACAGGTGCATGCCACTGCACCCAGCTTAATTTTTAGAGAATAGTATTTCGGAATATAAGTTTTTGGTGATAATCTTTCAGCACTGAGTATGTTATTCCACTGTTTTAGCCTCTATGGTGCCTGATAGTGACTTCTTTCTTGCTGCTTTTAAGGTTTTTTTCTTTGAAAAGTAAACTGTTGGATGCCTTACTTTCCTTCCTAAAAAGGGTTTCCAGCACCATTTTACTTTTTCATTTCTCCTCACTGATTTATTCCAGTCTGGCTTCCAGCTGTAAGTCTCAGTGGACACTTTTCAGTCCTCTCCTATTGGAGCTCCAGCAATTTTCTACAATGTTGATCTTTTTTTTTTTTTTTTTTGGTGCCGGGGATTGAACTCGGGACCTTGTGCTTGCAAGGCAGGCGCCAGAACCACTGAGCTAAATCCCCGGCCATGTTGATCATTTTTACCTTCTTAAAATGCTTATTTTTTGCCTCCCTTACTGTAAAATCTAGATTTTCCTTTGACCTCCCTAGATTCTTCCTCATAGTACCCTTTGCTGGTTCCTTCTCTCCTCAAGTGTAAAACAGTATTTCTCAAATGTTTAACACCTCAGGCTACTTAGTGAGAGTCTTCCAGGCTGAGGACATCAATTTTAAGGATTTTTTCATATAATGAGATGGCTTTGATATATGAGACTCTGACCCTGAATTCTTTTCTATCCTCTTTGGTTGACTGGATCTTTATCGTCCTTTAGAACTTAAGTCATTTCTACAGAAAGGCCCTCTGTTACTTTTTGACAGTACCCTGCTTCTTCCTTTTCCTTCTCATACTAGCTAATTATTAAATGATCTTAAAATGCCTTGAGACTGTTTTATCAATATATAGGGTCTTATGTTATATCAGTTTCACTTAATCTTTGCAGTAATACTATGTGCATTGGGGGGGTGGCTATCATAAACTCCATTTTACAGATGATAAAAAAAGAAAAAAAAAGATTCTTTGTGCTCATCTTCCAAAAGTTTGATTATGATAGCTGTAGTTTTAAGTTTATTCCTATTTGGAGATTGTAGAGATTCTTGATATGTATAGATCATTTTTTATCTAATTTGTGAAATTTGGGGTCATTATCTCCTGAAATATCCTTTCTGCCTTATGCTTTCCACTTCTGAAATGCACATTGTACATACATTGGTGTCCCATCAAGGTCTCTGAAAGCTTCAGTTTTTTGATGCTTTCTTTTGCTCAGAATAATCTCATTTGTCTTACAAATTTGCAGATTCTTTTTCTGCTTAATCATATCTGCCCCTCTAGTAAAGTTCTTATTATAGTTATAAAATTCTTATTAAACCCTTCTATGATACTGAGGATTGAACCCAGGGCCTTCACACAGAACTACAACCCTAGTGCTTTTTTTTAGTATATTGATGGCAAAGGCATTCTTTATATATCCTTTGCTTAGTATCATAATCTCCAAGATTCCATCTTTGTGTTTTTTTGTTTTTCGGTACTGAGGATCGAACTCATGACCTTGCATTTGCCAGGCAGGTATGGCTCCACTGAGCTACATCCCCAGCCCCAAACTATCACTCACTTTTTTTTTTCTGGTTCCAGGGATCAAACTCAGGACCTTGTGCTTACCAGGCAGGTGCGGTGCCACTGAGCTACATCCCGGCCCCAGTACTTTTTAAAAATTTTTTATTTTGAGACAAAGTCTTGCTAAGTCACTAAATTGTCTAGGCTAGGTTCAGACTTCCAGTCCTCCTGCCTCAGCCTTCCAGAGGGCTGGGATTACAGGTGTGTGCCACCACAACCAGCTGCTATTATGCTTTTCAACTTCAGAGTTTTTACATAAAATTTTTACATAAAATTCTCTATTTTTTGAGGCACCATTCTTGTCTTTTCATTTAGTGTTTTACATATGCTCTCCTTTATTTCTTTGACTATATCTAAAATAGCTCATTTTAAATCCTTTTCTAGAAAGCCCAATGCCTAGGCTTCCTCAGGAACAGTTTCTTTTTTTTCTTCTTTGTATAGGGGACAATTTCTTGCCTCTTTCTATGTCACATAATTTGCATACTTTTAGCCCTCAGCCAGCTAGGTGACAGCTGTGCCTTGGCCTTTACTTCCTGCTTGTACAGCCTGGAGTTCAGCCTGAAGTGTGAGCTTAGGACCTTCTCAGGTGCTTCCTGAGCATGTGCACATCTGTATGCCTGTGACCTTCTTGATTCCCAGGACTGTGTTGGAACTTTTCAAAGCCCCACGGACATCTCATTCCCTACCTTTACCTTTATGCTTTTTTAGTTAGCTTATTATTTGCCTCAGCTGATAATCATTTTAGGCAGCGGAAACAAGTACCTCTGATTGTTTGCAGCAAACATTTATAGGGAGAAGGTCTTTTTGGACTTAGTGAGCCCTGAACTCTGAGACGTGGTGAGCCTGAGTCCCAACTCAAGTCAAATAAAGACAGCCTTGCAAGTAAGGTCTTCTGGGGAACCACTGGACAGGTCAAATAATGAGTTCTCTTAGAATTAAGCTGCAGAGCTCCAACCCTGCTCCTTCCTCTAGTGACTGCCATACTTGTTTTCACCATGATTGTGGCCTATTGTTTTCACAGCTTTCATGGAGCCAGAGAAGGAGAAAGGGGAATAGGGCAAGTTAAAATAATGCTACAAAGCTTGTTTGTTTGTTTTAAACTGACATTCAACTATCTTTTGGAATACCCATTCTCTAGGTTGCTACAAGCTCTTTATTGATTTTCAGAGTTCAGAAAAAGCTGATCTCACCATTTTTGCCAGTTTTCTCATTGCTTGGGGGGTGGTAGTACTGGGGATTGAACACACAGCCTTTGCAGAAAGCTACATTTCCGACCCCTTTTTAGAAAAACATTTTTAAAGTTTTGATACAGTATCTGTGTTGCTAAATTGCCCAAGCTGGGCTGGAACTTGTGATCTTCCTCAGCTTTCCAGAGTGCTAGTATTATAGGTGTGCACCACCACAGCTGGTTTCTCATTGCTTTTATGGAAAAAATAAATTTTAATGCTTTTTTTCCCACCATTTTTGCTGATATCACTCTAGCCAGTTTAATAACCTTGGTCTTTAGTTGTACTTCTAAGTAATCTCCATCTTAGAGGGGAAACCAAGACAGATATATTACAACACATCAAGACATGAATGGATCCTGACCCAGACTCATGAAATGGAGGACAAAGCACTTTTGTAAGACACTGCTAGGTGATTTTTAAGCTTTTGCACTTAACATTAGCCCCTAATGCTAACGTATCTACTAAATCTTTGATCCCCATTTCTTTTGCCCTGGCCCCTAGTGTATTTTTTTTTTTTTTTTTTCCTAGTGTCTTGACTCTCTTCTCCAGTTCCTGGATTATCATACAGGCTATTTTTTATGTTTTCTAGAAACTCCCTCACCAGCTTCAACTCACAACCTAACTTATAGGTGAGTAACATTATGCTTCCTTTCTGGGGATCTGTTCACCCGGACACTCTGCCAGCAGCCCTGGAGTTACTTCACTGGTCTATACCACTGAAATTTATAATCTGCTTTAGAAACAAAAGAGCAGGTTGAATAACACTGTGTTTAATATACACCTGAATTATTTAATTTTGTTTTCACAAGCAGGGGAGTTCCTCCTCTCTGGCCTAAATGTTTAGGCCCTTCCTTTACATAAGCATTTTGCTTTTATGTTTCCTTTTCTCTGCTGATGTTTTTATTTCCTCTCCTTAGAACTTCATCTGCTTCCTCTGGGCTGGGGATTTTTTGTGTCAGACCATTTCTAAATGGGGAGTCTGGCCACACAAGAGTCCTAACCCCCAACAGTTCTGGTAAGTTAACATTCCCAAAGGAGTGGAGTTTCAACCACTGACACAAACTAAAGTGAAGATTTCCAAGGTGACAAAAAATTGACATTTGCCCCTTAAAGAGCACTGTTCCCAGTTTGGTTCCTTAATTTTTTTTTTAAAGAGTTACTCTATTTCCTTTACAGTAGAGAGAAGCTCTGGATTTTGCCTGCATAACACTCATCCTGTCACCTGTTGAATTCTACTATTGAGCCAGGTTGACCTATAGGATTAGAATGAACTGGCTTTTTTAAAAAATCCCTATGTTGAACATGCTGGGAGCTCAATTCTGAGGATTATAAAATCAATATCCTTTTTTCTCCCTATCTTTTTAAATAAGAGTACCTCTGCTACCAGCCCTCTTGCTAAGGGACTGCCATCTTTCATAGCTCACCTAAATATATTCCCTGTCTTTCCAGTCATAATTAAACTCAAATCTCAAGCCTTCTCTGTTGGCATCCCATCCTCATAGGAAATAATGGACTTTATAACTTACCTCTTAAATTGCTTAGCTAATAGTCTTTTCCTTTTTGAGTAGCGTTCCTTTGATTTAGGAACTATCCAGAGACCCTGACCACAAGTAGCAGTGCTGAACAACTGCCCAAAACTGTCCCTTACCATTTCCTTCTGTCCTTCAGGCCAGAGGGAAAGCAGGACTCCTCGAGAGAATCTTCCTGGTTTCCAGCTACCAGTCCTGCAGGTAAGGCCTGGTTAGTGTAACTTACCTGTGCACAAAAACTCACATGGCTGGGCTGGCACGCTAAAGGCCTCTGGTCTTGTTAAGGTGGTAGAATGTAGCTAGTGCAGAGTGACATGGGTTTCAGATGTAGTAAATGTGTTTGCAGTTTTCTAGGATGGTTTTTTATTTTTGCTTTTTTGAGACAGGGTCTTGCTATGTAGTTCAGGGTGGCTTTGAACTGTGTACCCTAGGCTGGTCCTAAACTTGTGGCAATAATCCTGCCTCAGCTTCCCATGGTGAAGCTACATATGTGTACCACCATGCCTGGCTCCTAGTCTCATTTTCAAAGATTCTATACTACTGTCTGATTAGCTTCCTGGTTTGGGGTTTTTCCTTTTTTTTTGGTACTGGGGATCGAACTCTGGACCTTATGCTTGTGAGACAGGTGCAGTGCCTGCCTTGCAAGCTCAAGGTTCTGAGTTCAATTCCCAGTACCAAAAAAAAAGTTTTTTTGTAGTACTGAGGATTGAACCTAGGGCTTCATATATGGTAGCAAGTGCTCTAGTACTGAGTCCTTTTTTGAGACAGGGTCTCACTAAATTGCCCAGGCTGGCCCTGAACTTATTATCTTCCTGCCTCAGCTTCCTAAATATCTGATTATAGGTCTGTGGCCTGGAGGTTTTGTTTTGTTTTGTTTTGTTTTTTAAGACGGGGTCTCGCTATGTGGTTTAGGTTGGTCTTGAACTCACTATGTAGCCCAAGCTAGCCTCCCAAGTGCTGGGATTACAAGCATGTGCCACCACACCCTGCTTGGAGTTTTTAAAATTAAGTCAAATGGTAGTGAGATTTCAACCATGGGGTCTTGGCCAGTGACACAGTAGCACTGCTCAGTAGTTCCACAACAAAGTATTTTCAGTGGACTGTATCTTTTGGGTTTTTTTGGTACCAGGGATTGAACTCGGGACCTTGCACTTGTGAGACAGGTGGCGGAATCACTGAGCTAAATCCCCGGCCTGGACTGTATCTTTTGGGTGAAGGTTTTACTTGAACTATGAAAAGCCACATTTATTTCTCCAGAGATAGGTAGAATAATACTTTGTAAATTTATGAAAGTATGGGTCTTATCTGGGCAACAAAAGGAAAAGGACATGATAATGAGAGGCCTCTATTGTTAAGGCCTCTATTAAATGAAAAGTCTAGTCTTGCCTTTCAATTTTTATGGCATGGGTTCTGAGGATATTGGATCTTGATTTTTAAAAAGCTGTTAAAAATTCTATTAGACAAGGAAAATCAGATGTCTATTGGACATTTGATATTAAGGATTTTTTAACATTGGGCATTTTGGGTTTTTTTTGGGGGGGGGTGGTACCAGGGATTGAACTCGGGTCCTTGCGCAGCAGGCGGCGAAACCGCTGAGCTAAATCCCTGGCCCAACATTGGGCATTTTTTACGCATGATGATTCTGTTTATTCTTTGTAGATGCATACAAAATTTCATGGGTCGGAAATTATATCTGGATGTTACTTTAGTTTAAATATAGTAGATAGGATCAGTGGGAAAGTAGAAATAGAAAATCAGCCATGAAGTTGGGTGTGATGGTTATATGAGTTCATTATTGTTTTTTTTTTTTGAGACAGGGTCTCGCTGTGTAGTTTAGGCTGGCCTGGAACTCTCAGCGATCCTCCTGCCTCAGCCTCCCAAGTGCTAGGATTACAAGCACACACCACCATGCCTGGCTGTATTCATTATTCTATTCTGCCTTTTAAATTTTTTTCCATTTTAAAGGTTTTTCAAAAATAGTTATTGAAGAAAGTACCACCTCCCTAGAGGCTTAAGAATTCTGCTTCCCTGCTAATCATCTCTGGGCATGGTAATCACATGTTCTAGGTCTTCCAGAACAGTTGGATTTTCAAATAATTTTTATAAACCATTCTTTTTATCATCCTTAGCCACTGAAATATTTCAGAGTTTTGTAAGCAACAACAAAGCCTTGTCACACAAGAGACATCAAATCTAACTAATCATCATGCAGTAGGAAAAAAACCTCAAGATGGCCACGGATTTAGCTCAGTGGTTTCACTGCCTGCTGCGCAAGCACAAGGACCCGAGTTCCATCCCTGGTACCGAAAAAAAAATACCTCGGGAAACCAACAGTACTTGATTATGTTCTGATAAACTTCACATAATGGCTTGAGAGGGTCTTACTAGCCATTTTTGTTATAAACACTCAAATATGCCTTCCTGTTCTGTTTACCAGCAGACTCTTTACCAACAGAGGCAGATGGGATTAGCCAGGGAGAGAGAAGCCTACGCCACTTCCAGATAGACCATCATCAAGGTCTGATGTATATGTACTGCTGAAAGTAGCAGCCAGTACCGATCCAGGGAGATGCCCCTGGAAAATGTACTATACTTTGTCTCCTGGTTGCTGTACCTTATTCCTTCTGTATCTTTACCCTGTATACCCTGTGTTACCTCCTAGGAAAGTAGTCAGATCTTACAGGCTTGTGCTTCAGAAAGATGTTTATCTCTCTCCCAAAAGACATATGTCGCTCCTTTCATGTCCTACAATATGAAACTAAAGTTGTAAAAATAATTCTTGGCATTATGCTTGGGAGATTGGATAATATATTCATCAACTTGTTTCATTTCTATATTTCATTTTTTCACTTTGGATGTACTGTCCCATTGGCAATGTTAGCAAGCAGCAGCTCTCTGTCCCTTGTCCTTATTATACTTTTCTTGTTTATCTATTGTTTCCTCTGTGCCTGGTTACTGTTAAATGTTGATTTTCCTTTGACAGAAATATTTGTATATATAGATTTTCAGTTTACTAAACTCTATAGATAACAAAGAAGATGCCCTTTTATGATTATTGCACCTGTTACTATTAGAAGCTCTAGAATGGTTAGGTGAGCAAGTGGAGTTACCTACAAGCCTACTCTATCTCTGTCTCTGCTGAAGCCTCAGAAATTTTAATCATTGTCCTGACTTCTGGAAAACAATGAAACAATGTTTATGGTGACAGATCCTGACCTACTGCTTTATAGTTTTTGTTCTTTTAATTTTACCTCAACAAAGCCTGCTCCCTCAAATAATAAAAAGTATACTACATCAGAAAAAAAAATTCTAATTGGTGCTGGAAATCCAATCCAGGGCCTCATATATGCTAGGCAAGTGCTGTACCATTGAGCCACACCCTGCCTGTAAATTAGAAGTATTAATGGATTTGATTTCACTAACCCCTAAATGATAGGAGTGGCAAAGTAGCAAAGAGAGAAACAATTTGTGACCTTTTTTTTATTATTCTAGGGATGCGGGGTTTTCACTCTTTCATTTTTAGAAGGTTAACTGATTGACCACTCTTTTATTTTTAGAAGGTTAACTGATTGATATGTTTGTCTTTATAATCTCAATTGATTGAAACCATTCCAAAACATCAATAATTCAGTTAAAGACCATGGTCCCTTTGTCCCCAAGACAGATCCTATAGAGAGGGAAAAGTCTCTTTTCTGGTCACAGGTTAAACAGCAAAAAACTGAAAAATCAGTCTCTGTCAAGCTAGACTGGAGGTAGTGTCAGGTTTGTAAAACCAAACCTGGTACTACTTCTATCACCCTTTGACCAGGAGAACTGTCCTTTCTCCATCACTCTGTAATGTAATTCTGGTGGGGTTTTTTTGGTACCGGGGATTGAACTGAGGACCTCTCGCTTGCAAGGCAGCATGGCACCACTGAGCTAAATCCCCATGTAATTCTATTTTTTGTAAAGGACATCGCCCCTAATTCCAAACTCCAATAAATATCCAGGCTAAATATTCACCACCCAATTTCTAAACCTTTTGAGACTCTGTGGGGAAGATTTACCCTGAGACAAACAGTAAACAAAGAGGGGATTTTGTAGCAATAAAAAGGTAGGAGGCAAAGTGATTCCAGTATCAGAAATGAGAACATTCTGCTACCCATGATTCAGTGATGAAGCAGGTGAGATTATCAAACTGGTACGAGGAACAGGAAGTATCTAGGACAGGGCTGGGACGTATTGAGAATGCATAATGCATAATGGAGCTAAGAATGGGAAGGATGCAAAGCAGCCTTATAATCCAGGGAAAATGGTGGGATTAGGATGCACTGGAATCATCAATTGAATCAACTCTACTCCTTTCTAGGTCTTCCATGGATTTAGGGATGAGGCCTGGTCTCTAGAACACTAAGGGAGAAAAATACCAGAAAAAAAAGGAGAACAAGAGCCGTTGCCTAGCTCAGTGTCCGATCTTTAGCCCTAAGGGTAGAAGATTTTTGGCCATCCACTCCCATCCATCCTCAAATTACTGTATCCCCTTCACCCACCCTGAAGAACACAAAGCTTTTTAGTTCTTTGCCACAAAGTAATTTTTAAAATATGGTTTGTTTAAACAGTTACTAAATCTGTTCATCATTTAGTAACAAACCTTCCCCTTAGTCCTCCCACTCAGTCCTGTATGATCACATCATCATCATCATCCTCATCTTCCTCCTCCTCTTCCTCACCATCTTCTGGCAGTTCTTCCTCTTCTTCTTCTTCTTCTTCATCTAAACAAACAACTACCTCAGCTGGCTCATGTAACTGAGAGTCAAACCAGTCCCGCACCTGCTGCGTGCTCAGCCTTGACGCCCGACACAGCTGAGGGATATCAGTTGCCTGGAGCTGATGGTGAGCTGCCCAGTACCTCTCCAAGGGTCGTATATCCGGTGGAGGTGGGGGTGCTGGCAGAGGTGGTGTCTTGGCCCATTCTTTCAAGGAGCAAGTTGATGGCGATGTGGTAGTTGCTGGGTCTTGGAAACTAGGGGCACCAGGTACTGCACTGTCCCGAAACCATTTTAGTTGCCCATGCTTCAAGGCATAGCGTGTATCACCAAACCACTGAATGATCTCAGGCCTAGGTAAACCCGTGATCTGTTCTAATTTATGATAATCCTCACGTCGTGCCCATTGGCACTGTAGAAAAAAGGATTTGAGGATTGCCAGCTGCTCTTTGGTTTTGCGCTTAATCTTTCGCTGGCGTTGCATATCAGGGGAAAGGTATCCTGTGGGGCTGGCCCTACCTGCTAGTGAGTTAGGCCGCAGCCTTTGGGACCAGCCTGCTTCCACATGTGGAGGCTGTGGCTGTTCTCTGGCTGACAGTGACTGTGAGACACAGCCCAGTGGCTGGAGGGGTTTAGGGCTGGCAGTAGCTCCATTAGCCAGTACCTGGAAAGAGGAAGAAGAGGTAGAGGAAGAAGGAGTCACACGAGATGTTGTCTCCTTACAACTACTGGCCAGTGATGAGATTGGTGGTTTATGCTGAGCTTGTGGCTGGTGAACAGCTGTGGAGTGGTTCCAGGAAGCAGTACCTACGCCACGTGCATGGTCGGGACCTCTGCCTGCCTGCTCCTTAGAAAGGCTACTTTGCCGATTCTGTGAAAAATCTGTTTGGTTGGGGAATGCTCCACTGCCAGGTGTCAAGAGGGGTTCCTTTGTTTTCTGGTGACTCAGCGGCAGTGGCAGATTCTGAGAGGACTCCTTAGGTTCCACCTTCAATCCTTTTATCTGGGTGGGCTCACTGAGAGTCAGAGGACTTATTCCAAGACCACCTTGTTCTGGAGGTGGGATTTGAGAAGACGGTACCTCCTCTGGGGGCCGCACTACATGGTGAGTAAAAGACAGAAGGGATTTGAAATGGAGTTGGTCCTGATGGTAGACTACTCGGGCTCGAGTCTCTTCTATTTCTTCCGATGACCAGCTAATGCCACAGCGGAGGCGCTGGGCCATGAACCATGTCTTGACTTTCTCCATCTGCAGCCCATAACGCAAGCAGAGAAGGGCGATGTCTGCTAGACTGGGATAGGGAAAGTAGCTGAAGGTTTGCAGCAGGTGTTCATTGCTGTCGAGCTCACTGGTCTGGGCTGCTTGGGTCCACACCAACTGTAGCTCCTCAGAGATTGGAGGGAGGCAGATGAGCCCTGCTGGTGAGCTATGAAGACTGCTGGCCTCTTTACTAGGAGGCATGGCTCCCAATTTGTGCTCTTCAGGGACAGCTGTAATAAGAAGAGAGACAGCTCAATCACAGAGGCTCCTCTTTTGGCATATCACACGATTTCTACCAAACCAGAAGGCTGAATAGTTCTACTGTAGAAAGTACTTTTATGTAGAAAGTACTTTTAGTCATGGCATATTGCTTATAAAGTGCTCATTTATTTTATTACAATTTCTCTTTATTTTATTACATTTTTTTATGTTGCCCAAGCTAGTCTTGAACTCCTGAGCTGAAGGATTCTCCCACCTCAGCCTCCTGAGTAGCTGGGACTATAGATGCACATCACCACACCCAGCTGTCATTCAATCTTCATAACTTTGTGAAGTCATCATAGCCTGCTATAATTCCCAATTTTTGTATGAAAAAAATAAGGTCCATAAAGGTTGTTATTCCTAAGTCTCTTGACTAGTGACTGTTGTTATCAAGACAAAAACCTGTATGTACAGATTAGGAAGAGAAAATTATCCTTATAAAGCTATTACCTTTTCAATTCAAACTTGTTTTATTGTTCAAATTCAAACTTGCTTCTGGAAGCTATTATCCCCTAACTCTCATCCTCTAAATTCATGGAATAAAAGTCACAAAATGAAGACAGTCACAAAGACAAGAGGAGCAGCAGTCTCAGAACTATTACTCTTCACCTCCTAACAACAGGATTATCCCTGGAATGTGGAGGTAGGTAGGGAAAACCGATGACCACCTGAAGGTAGGACAGCACTACCCTCCGCCCAGCCCCCAGCACTTCTTTTTTCCCTTCTTGGTAGTGGAGTGTTGGGGGAGGGGAATGATAGTACCTTCAACCCCGGAATTCCATACAGATAGCTCCCCGCAACCCATCTCTCAGTAGGTTGAGAGATACTGAGATCTTGGATAAAGGGGGCCCACTCCCCCTGGGTTTAGGTCATGTGGACAGGGGAATGTTTCCTCCTCCAAGTCAGCCTCAGAACAAAGGTTATCCCCTCCCCCAGCCTTTGTCTCTTCCAACAGCTCAGCCTCTCTCCAGGGAGCCCAAAGAGCTCCTTCCAACATTAACAGCCCCTTCCACTCTGGGGGAAAGGCCTGAAGCTCTTATCTTTGCAGTCCAGCTTTCTTCTCAAAACCAGGTGGACCGCTTTATTATAAATTGTAACCAGTTCATGCAAGCAACCCAGCACAATACTGCTCCCAAGTTAGGGGTGTGGGGACTCCAAGGACAACCTCCAACTGAAACACACACCTGCTCAAGTTATTTCCCAGAATATTGTTGAGTTTTAATTCTGCTCCCAATGTGGGTACTAGAGAGATCCTTTAACACTTTTACCCTTTACTCTTAGGGGATTACCAACTGTGTTTATAAATACTACTTCTGATCTGTTAAGGTTAGTACGCAAGTTCATAAAGTTCAAACAATGTCATGTCAAAGATATTTATTTATTTATTTATTTGCGGTGCTAGGGATGGAAGCCAGAGCACTGCACAAACTTGGCAGGTGTCCTACCACTGAGCTATACCCTCAGCCCCAGAAATAAGAATTTTCCATTAAGGGCAACCTTGAGTTTGAATCCCAATTCTGCCATTTGCCAGTTAGCTACATGAAATTGGTCAAAGTACTGAAATTATATGAGCCTCAGTTTCTTTCTGTAAAAAAGAAACTGCTGCCAGGTATGTGGCACACAACTGTAATCCCACCACTCAGGAGGCTGAGGCAGAAGAGACCAGCCTGTATTACACAGGGACACACCCAGACGGAAAGGGGGCGGGAGGGGGGGACTGCTGAGTGTACTGTATTATTTTTACCAAGTATCTATTATATGCTAGTATTAATGCATAGGCAGGGGTTAAAGCAGCCATTAGATGGAAATCTGGTGTGGCGGGGATGAGATTAATTGCAGCTCCTCTACTTTGTATAGAATACTGTTTGTCCTTATGAAAGTTATGTAACCTCTCTTACTTTCTCATCAGAAAAAAAGTACCTACCTGGCAAATATGGCTAAATAAAAAAATACCTTTGACACTATGCCTAGAACAAAGTAAAAGCTCAATACCTAGCAGTTTTTATCATTACTTCTGTCTCATGGATGACTCAGATGTAAGGTAATATGCCTCTTAGATGGTGGGGAAAGTGGGGCAGAGACTGAATCCTTTAACAGCAGTTTTTCAATCTGTTTTTGCAGAGTCCTAATTCTGTCTAACAGTGGAGGAACCTAGGGTATTTATGATTTTTTAAAAATTTACTTAGTTTTCTTTTGCAGCACCGGGGATGGAAACCAGGGCCTCTCCTGTGCTAGGCAAGTGTTCTATCACTGAGCTACATTCCCAGCCCCTATGATTTCAAGCTTTTTTATATTTAAAGGTTTGGATACAATTTCAGAATGGATTTTGCTGTGTTTAAAAAATGAAAATCATAGCTTTGGAGGACATGCTTCTATAATTTGGATCCTTTTTGTTTGCTATGTGAATTGCCCCCATGATTGGTTCATCTTTTCCCTCCCAGGTTCATCCGAGACACTGCTTCATGGCCAGGAGCTACACTATCCATCACTTAGAAATTGTGGGCTCCCCAGGAACACCACCAGTCTCAAGGTGGAGAATACTTTATGATGGCAGTGCCTGACATCTACTTGACCTCTTTTGTGTGCTTTTCTGTAAGGACAAACAATCCACTCTTTAGATAGGAGGAAAATGTAGCATAAAGTATGGGGCTGTCCAATCTAGTGTGAGGGTGAGGACTGACAGACACAGCTAAAAACCTACGGGTGGATTGCCTTCAGATTCTCAGCATCAGCTTGATATTTCAGTGTAACGTGTAATAAGGCAAATGAAATATCTTGGGATACTATATACATCGTTTTCACTTACACAAAATACAAGTTATGGAAAACTTTCTAAAAGAGAATGGTGGCTTTCATCAAGGCACAGCTGTGTAGCTGGTACTTCCCTGGAAGAATATGGCTTTGAACTAGGATGAAACTACAACCCAGCGGTGGCTTGTGAAAAGTATAACTAGTAGGGCAGACCCTCTTGTAACCAAAACCACAATTTAGACTCTACAGTGTCTCTGTGTTCTTGTGTCTTCATTTTGAATTAGGTAGAGAAAGGGAATCAATTCAGAGAAGTAAGGACTCCTAGGGCAAAGCTGGTAATGAGTACTCTGAATAACTACTACATTTGCATCCCTATTAAGTATGCTAGTTTTGCTTTATTGCTAAAGTCACTAATAAAAAATACAGTCAGAGCTGGTGTGATGTGAGTGGTGCATGCCTGTAATCCCAGCACTATGGGAGGCTGAGGCAGGAAGATGGCAAGTTTGAGCCCAGCCTGGGCAACTTAGCAACTTAGACCTTATCTCAAAATTTTAAAAAGGGTGTGGATATAACTCAGTATGAATGCTCTAGGTTCAATCCTGAGTACTGAGGGGGGGGATATATATATATATATATATAAAATATCCTTCCTTCCCTTGGGCTTTCTGGATCTCTGGTCAGATGGCAATAAAGAGCTAGCTGTCTTAAAATTTCCAGTTGCAGTGTTTATGCAGTCCTAGGAAATAGATTTTGGAGCTTTCCAGCTGAACCTAGGTTTATGGTTAAAGTAGAACACAAAGTGAAAAACAGGTATGATGCTGAATTTTCTAAATCTTTATTCAGAAGAAAACCTGAAGTATTGCCTGAAACGTGTTTTCATGGTACAGTATTAAGGGCCTTAAGGATGTTTCATGAAATTTTACTTATATGCTTCTTAACTTCTCTAAAAATCTGATAAAAGTTATAGGCTGTCAGATTAAGACCTCTGCCATGTCTTCCCATCTTAATAAAGGCAGTAGTGGTAATTACTGAAAGATGAAAGAGCAGCTTAATGTAAATGAACGGAAAGAGTGGAAGATTGGAGAGTTTGATTAAGAAGGGAACTGGATATTTATGGTATTAGTTGGAGAGAGGGTGAAGAGTGCTCAACTGGGCAAGAGCCTGGTTTAACTGGCCTACTGGTTACTACATGATTGATAACCACAGTGCCTTGGATACTGGAGGTTAGCAGGCTGTTTCTAGGGCACCCAAATCACTAGCTTCATTCAGTTGTCTCAGTGCTTGCAAGAGTTTTGTGTGGTTCCAAAACTGCTTGTCCCGACAGTTTTTCAGTATTATATAATAATGTAATTAAATATTACATAAACCTGTGAAAAAATACTAAATTAAAAAACTTTCCTATGAAAACCAAGCCAAATGCTTTGAAGAGACATAATATGAAGAATATACAATTAAAAACTGATAAGTGAAGAGTGGGTAGGACAACTGTAAAATATTAGGGGTGAGACTTAAAAATGTCAAAAGTAGGGGTTGGGGATTTAGTTCAGTGGTTCCAGTGCCTTCCTGGCAAGTGCAAGGTCCAGGGTTCGATCCCCGGTACCAAAAAGAAAAAAATCTCAAAAGCATTCTGCACTTAGATTGCTTCAAGTGTCTAATCTCACTTCAAAGAAACCAAAACTGCAAATCAGATAGTCGAAGTGCCTGAGTGATTCTCACCTCAGACTGCACACTAAAATTTACCTGGAAAACTTAAAAACCAGGCCGCCCTCCTCCCCGTTTTGATTTAATTAGTCTGGACTGGGGCCCAGTCATCCATAGTTTAAAAAATTCTCAGGGTGCTGCCAGGTTTGAGACTCCCTTGGTAGTTAACACTAGAAAAGCAACTGGCAACTTCAATCAGGCTTACACGCCAAAAGAACGGTGAGATGAATGTATTTTTAATTACAATGTTTTAAGATAACGTATGCATTATTTAAAAAATTCCCAACGTTGGCTTTTTCAATTACTGCCGTCTTCCTATCCTAAGTCATATAATATAAAAGGGATTCAAATATATAGTGGCTCATAGGTTAAGAAAGATCTCCTGATCTGGACTAACATTACCAAACAGGTCTCAGCTTGAGTCTTCTTTCAGTTTAGAAGTCTCAGATTAGGGCGCAGAACCAGGAACCTCCGAGGATTCTCGAACTGTTTCCTGGTCTGGTCTTTTGCCTATGACTGGGCACGGGAGTCAGAGGGGTAGTTTTTTCTAAACCTTTCATTCCCAAAGGCCACTGCTCCCCAGAAGTAAGGTCAGGTTCTATACATGTGTTATGGTCGCCTGGAGGTAGTCATGGGGATGGGGGGGGGTGGAGGCCTGGGAAGGAAACGTTTCTCCTATCCTCCATTTCACAGGCAGTCTAGAAGGCTCCGAACTGGGTCAGAGAACAAAAAGTTGCTGCACTTGGGGGCGGTAAGCCCCAGGCGGCAGGCGGATCTCAACCATTCCTTAGCCAAGGGCGTCCCAACCTAGCCGTCCCCTCCTCCCTACACACCCCTTCGCCCTCCCCCAGTTAGAACAGGGAATCGAAAAGTCCAGAGCAGAAAGGGGTGAGAACTGGGCGACTTCGGACCTAGTACTGTACTGTATTCTCCACCCCCCGCCCCCGGCCGGCCGGGGATGGGGCTCAGGAGGTTGGAAAGCGTACACCGGCTGGGAGGGGAAGTCCAAGGGGCTGGGATCACTCACCGCGGTCCGGCCCGGGCGGCGGCTCCCAGCCTCGCACCAGGGAATGGGGGGGAAAGGGGAAGAGGGCAGGGGGCCTCCAGGTCGGAGTAGGCTGCTGCCCCGTGCGGCCTGCTCCGAGCCCACCCGCACGGCGGCCCAGGACCGGGACTGCGCCCCCCACCGCCCGCCCCCGAGAGCGCGCAGATGTAGCCCGGCCCTCCCAGCTCCGGGGAGTTGGAGGCGGGGGGGGGGGCGTCCGGGGGCGGTGCCAAGGTGGCCCGAGTTCTGATTGGTGGATGTGGACGAGAGGACACCGGCGCAGCGCGCTGGGCCGGCTATTGGCTGCGTGGGTGTCGGTAGAAGCCGGCAATTGGCTGCGTGATCCTCAACCTGGGTCAGCTATTGGGCGCGTGGTATGATGTCCCCCGCAGCTAGGGTGCTGTGAATGGTACCTCCCCATACCCTCGACCTGACTCTGCTGGACCTTCGGCCCACGTTCTTCCCGAAATTTAGCAACTCCTTCATTTCCCTCCTCTTGAAGGCAGCTCTCCGGGAAGACCCTTTTCATAGCCCCTCCCAGTCTTGCAAACGAACTGCTCCTTCCCCAGCTCAGAGTCCAACCGCTCTCAGCAGCGTCAGCTGTAACGAAGCAGCGTTTAAAGCAACTGGGAACTCGTTTGAAGATAGATCAGATGTCTTGCCACCCCGAAGGACCAGAATCTTAGGAGCCCGGAGCCTTCACCAGACAGGTGTTCCCAAGAACGAAATGCTGGCTCTCTCCCTGCCGTAGTAAAGAGGACTTGGAGCGCTATCATATTTGGAGACCTTGGTTTTCTCTATCTTTCATCAAAGTATTGTTCCACACTCTATGAGGATCTGAGTCAAAAACTGTATATTTAGGATTCTCCATCTTCTGATTAAAACGTGGGAACAATACTTTCTGAAATGACCCCTTTGGACTCATGTTAGTCTTTGAAAAGAGCTCATCTTGCCTACGTAGGTCATTTTCAACTTCCCCCTTTACTCTCAGAACTCATCACTTCTCCCTCCTTACATACTCCAAGAAACCAGCCACAAAACTCCTTTTCATTCTTCATAGCTTCATCCACCGCCCAGAGCTCCTCCAGGGTTACCAGACAACTACTTCTGTGCTAAGCCTTATTTTCTGTTGCTGACCCTTTATTTGTCCCTCCGTCCCGCCTCCTCCCCGTCGCGATCCCTTCCTCCTTTTCCACTGTCCTCTCATTTAGTAACAATCTCAACTCCTAAGAGCAATCCCTCGTCCTTCAAACTAATACAGGGCAAAACCCCCACAGGAGTAAACAGGAGAAAGAAAGGTTAGAAACCTAGCTGGGCGTGGCGGCACACACCTGTAATCCCAGTACTCTAGGAGCAGGAAGCAGGAGAATCACAAATTCAAGACACCCCTAGGCCATTTAGTGACTTAGTGAGATTCTATCTCAAAATAAAAATAAAGAACTAAAAGGGCTGGGGATGTAGCTCAGCGTAAAGGAATCTGTCTTAAGGAATCTAAAGTTTCAGGGCCTCCCTGGCACAGATCTCTTCCAAGGCACTGGAAGAGCCCCAGCACCATGGTAATATTGTTACAGGTTTTTATAAAACTTGAAATACATATCTGACTGTAATTGGTTAAGATTTAATGTACTTTTCCTTTCTGACTTGCCCTCCAAAACATTTCCCTTTTTGTCAGTTGGCAGTGAGAGGCCATGTGCGTTTTTCGATTAGCTTAGGAAAGTGAGATGGGGATACATTAGTCCAGGTTCAGTACGTATACTTATAGGCTCTGCAGTCACTTCTGTGAATAATCCCCATGTTGATATGAACTAAACTGAGCTTCCCCCAATCTCAGAAGTAAACCCTCAGTATCTCAGAATGTAACTGTTTGGAGATAAGACTTTTTAAAGGTAATTTAAATTAAAATGAGGTCTTTAGAGCGGGTTTTAATACAGTATGACTGGTGTCCTTACATAAGGAAACTTAGACATAGCTGTGTGTACACAGAAGAAAAACCACGGTGAAGACATAAGGAGTACACAGCTATCTACAAGCCAAGCAGAGAAGCTCCAAAATGAAATCAACACCTTGATTTTGGACTTCTAACCTCCAGAACTGAGAACAGTTTCTGTGGTTTAAGCCACTGTGCTGTTTTGTAATGGCAACCCTAGAAAATGAATACAGATATATGTGGGTGTGGGGAGGCTTCCAAGTAAATGGCATTAGTCTTCTCAAATTTGGGGAGTTTTGTTTTAAAAATAATATTTTTTTTAAAGTTAATATGTGCATTACAGGAAACAGAAAGACAAGAAGCAGGGCTGGGATTTAGCTAAGTGGCACTGTGCCTGCCTTGCCAGTGCAAGGTCCTGAGTTCGATCCCTAGTACCAAAAAAAAAAAGAAGACGAGAAGCAAAGAACAAAGTCATTTGCAATCATAAGCAGCTTAGCTAGATGTGTTCTTCTAGGTTCCATGTGTACATACACAACTTGGCATTTTGTGTGACTGAGTTTGTACAGTGTGTGTCATGCTTTTCCATGCATCATGAATATTCACCAATTCTCCAAAGCTACACCAAAGCTGCGAATATTTTCCTTAACCAAGAACACAGTAAACCAATTCAATCTGTTAGAAAATAATTGTAGGGCCGGGGATTTAGCTCAGTGGTGCCACTACCTGCCTCAAAAGCGCAAGGTCCCGAATTCGATTCCTGGTACAAAAAAAAAAGAAAAGAAAAGAAAGAAAGAAAGAAAATAATTGTAATCCTACCTTTCTTGGGAAGAAAAATTTCACTGAAGGTAAAAATGGCAACAAGCCTCTAGATAGAAGTATTGGAAAAGTTACAACCACAATACTGCATTTCCTTAATGTTCAATTTAAAATGAGACATAAAGCAACAGAGTAACACCAAGTATGTGTCTCAGAGTTATCAGATCTCTACTATTAAGCTATTAGCAAGAAGGCCTGTTCCTACTGAATTATTAACGTATTTCTACAATATAACTAAGAGACACACTTTGATTCCTCTCGGCAAAATGTAAATCTGAACACTTTGCACACATCTTTCCTTGTGAGCTTATTTCCACCCCTTTGCTGCTAGCCTAATGACAAGTCCTGATACACACTGCCTAGAGGTGTTGTAACAATTCTAAGTCCAAGGTGCATCTTTTCTATCAATTATAACAAAAAGGTACTTAAATGTTGTCTAACTCACTACCTCTAGTTTTTATCATGCATTGTCATCTCAGGACATCTAAAAGATCAGATACTGTGCAATAGAGTATGAACTCAGCGCACAATAGGCCCGAATACAAAAAATGTGCATACAGGCCTATGGTTATAATCTAAAATCATCTTTCAGATATTAAGATATAAAAAAGAGCCCTTACCACCCTCACTTGCCCTTTTCCCTCTTCACCATTTCAGTGGCTACGTTCAGGACCAACCACATCTAGCTCCAAGAGGTGGCTATAGCAAAGGTCACTTCCAGAAGACAGTCCTTCCTAAAAACTAACAGAAGACATTTATATAGGGATTATTTTGCTACTTCTAACAAGTTGGGCAGTAAGACTTACTCGTTTTTTGTTTTTTTTTTGGTACCGGGGATTGAACTTCGGTCCTTGCGCTTGCGCAGCAGGCGGCAAAACCACAGAGCTAAATCCCCGGCCCAGTAAGACTTATTCTTAAATACCCAGCAATATTAACTAAAATGTACATATAGAACAATGGCAAGATGATCTGAACTCAACTTTCTCTGCATACTTCCCCTCTGGCACCCAATGAATAGCCAGCATACTCTCCAAGACATCAAGTTTGACAATTCCATTCCCCAAAAACAACCATTCCTGTGAAATAACAAAAAATACTTAAAGCACATTATATTAGCCCTTGATTTCTACATGTGTGAACTTTAAACATCTAGAAAGACTAGATATTTCCAATAAGAACTTAAATGTCCCTTATGTATAGTGGCATTGAGTAAACTGCACACATATACTTAACAAAGGGTATAATTTTAAAGTGTCATCTAAATAGGAACACTCTGGTCTAGAACCTTTTCCCCTTTCCATCTTTTTTAACCCAGTAACTGATATATACATATGTAACACTTAGAGAGGACTTTAATAATTTCACTTCCTGAGTGGTTTCAACAATATTCTTTCTAATGAATTTTAACACAAAGTGTACTCAACATGTTAGTTTACTAATTCTACTTCTGTTATACATTGGCAACCTCGATAACATCTAGAAAGACTAGATGTAAATTAGGATTCCTTTGTCCTTTACACACATCTGTATACCCAGGAAAGTAAAACAAAATGCATAGACATAAGGGATATCGGTAATCTTGCTTCATCAAAATCACACTGATTTAGAGCCCTTTGTATTTTCTTTTCCTCCTCCTTCTCTAACTAGGACAAATATGCCTACTCCTCAGATCAGTGATCTGATCATTCCATCTCCTAAAGACAGTATTTCATTATTCATTTTAATAAAAGGATATCTACACAATGTGTTGTTTACCACCTCTACTTTTAACATACTTTGTGCACTTCTAAACATCTAGAAAGACTAGGTGTTTCAAATATGGACTCAGGTTTGTCCACTATATACACAGTAGTGTGGAATACGCACATGTATCAATGGTTATATCTGAAAGTGTCCTCTAAGTAGGAGCATTCTGGCCTAGAATCCTTCATTTCTTCCCATTTCTTCTTTCCTTGTCACATGTGATAGGGGAACATGTGTCACTCAAATACGATTTTACAATTACACTTCCAAAAATCCTTTTCAGAAGACAGCTTTTCACTGAATTTTTAACACAAAGTATACAAAATGTGTTAGTTTCCTAACTCTATGTTTGTCATACATTGGCAATCTCTTTAATATCTAGAGACTAAATATCATAAAATTAGGACTCATATGTTCAGTATATATACACTCTATATATTGTATAGCAAAGTTAAATGAAATGCATGTAACATAAGAGCAATGGATAAGCTGAAAGTTTCTACTATACACTTAAAAAAACACCTTTCACAATTTCTTCCCTCCCACCTCCCTCAACCCAGTGACCAAGTACAGACAGTATACTGTTCAGAGGTAGTTTAACCATTCTGTTTGCAAACATAATATTTCCTATCAGTTTATAAAAGCTGTTTACAAAGTGTTATTCTACAACTTCTACTTTTAAATATCTAGAACTTCTACATATCTAG